AAGAACCACCGCGGCTGGTGCCTCCACCCAACCAATGATCCAGAAAACCAACAGTGTCCTCTGTGGGAACAGGAGGGTCATTCATAACTTAGATTCTAAAAGCACCACATCCTCAGTGGGATGGAGCCTGGTAACACCTAGAGATGGCAGAAGGCAACCAGGCTGTACACCTCCTCATAGTGCCCCACCTGCATCCTAACTACCCTCAGGGGCTTGTTCCACCACCACCACCACTGTTGCCAGTATTCTGAAGTCCCCCATTCCTGGGCAAAAACTCACCTCCATTGGTGTCACCTCCATTAAGGAGCCAATTGGAGTATTGGCGAGGACACTGTGGAGAGTACTATGTGACACATCCTCTTCTAAAGGCTCCCTAATTCTCTCAGATTTAGGAGTCAACTTGGTCAGTGTTTGGGTATCTGTCTCTATACCCACGAATCTTTAATAATAATACACAGGACCCAGGAGTTGACCCCCAAACCCAGGGAATGTGTGTTCTGGCTGGGAAGCTGTGTCTGTGGTTCTGGAAGTAACTTTGGGCTTCTGTGTATTCAAAACCTTGGAGACACAGTCTGAAATCCCCATCTTCCATAACCCCCATTCCCTTCAGGAGTCCTGGCCCCTGAGTGGGTGCGCGCAGAGCCTGGGGCCTTCGTGAGACTGGCTCTGTACCTGCTTTGAGGTGGCAGGTGGACACAAGGTGGGCTCTCAGGGCTTCCTCTGGCAGGACACAGCGGGCCACTGGCTGTGGGTTGCTCTGCCTCAGGGCTGGTGTCAGTCAGCTCCATGCACACCTCCCTCCTCCTCTCTCCTCTGATCATGGCCTGTGACATCACTGGCTGCTCCCAGAAGGCTGCCCTCTGCTCCTGAGCACAGGCTCTCTGTAGCTCTGGACCCCCAGGCAGGACTGACATACAAGCAGAGTGGAGGCTGTTACCAGGACCAGACCATCACCACCCCTGGAACCTGCAGGGACCTCGGGAGCCCACACAGGAGCCTGAGACCCTCCCACTGAAGCTCCCACCTCATTGCCTCCACACAGGTAGCTCACCTGCAGGCTCATTGTCTGCTCTGCCTTCCATGCTGTCTCCATGTCTGTGTGGCCAAACCAACTTCTCTCCTCCTCTGTCTTTTCAATACCCACCCTCCTGCCCCTCCAACCCCCTCTCCTGCTTTCCCATCTTGTGAGCACCAGTTCTTTTATCAGATGAGTTAATATGAATGTTGGGATGGGTGGTGTGGCTCCTGGCAATGGAGTTTCTGTTTGTGAGTTGGGGCATGATGATTTTAGGTTTGGAAATGATTTAGGTTTAGATACTGAACCTGAGTACCCATAGCTCCTCTGAGCATTAGTCACTTGAGGGGGGGGGTGCGGTGGGGTGGGGGGACACAGTTCTATCAAGGATTCAGGGTTTGGCTGATATTCTGAGCTCCCACCCCCTGTCCTGCCAGAGCCCCTCGACGTTCCCAGTTTCGCTCTCCTTTCTCCATTGCTTTGATGGCAATTATGGGAAGATGAAACAGAGGCGAGGGCAGAGAAAGGAGGTGGAAATTCCAGGCGACACCAAGGGTGAGGAACTCACTTCTAAACCTCCTTGAGTTTAACTCTCTGGGTGGCCCGTGGCTTGTACAAACCGCAGTCTGTGCCTCAGTGCTCTTTTTGGAAAAACTTCTGCCTTCCTTCCTGACTTTCTGGAAAGATGAGAGCTTGAAGGGGGTTGTGTCTCTGTCCAGAGAGGAGTGGGTAAAAGCCAGTTTAGCTACTGAATTTTAAAAGCAGCTCTGGATTCAGTACTCGCAGTGAGTTCATTGTTATTTCACCTGCGCCAGGCTCTTCCCTCGGCTGCCCTGTATTCTCTTGGAAGGCAAAGACCTTGTCCCATTCCTTTTTACCCCCTTCCTCCTGAACAAACAGCAATATGTTCATGATTAAAACCTGATTCAGGAAATAATTGCAGATTAGTTAACTGAACCAAGATGGCATGGTTATTATAGGAAAAGGTCTATGCCTAAGCTATTCTCTGCAAGACCTCCCGCCCTGCCAGGGTTCCAGGCATAAAAGGAGGAGACTTTCACTCCAATTACTTGCTGATGAAAGCACGAAAGACATGGTGGCCCAGGACCTGTGTCCCTTGCTGCTCAGACACTCTCTTGTGCTCACAATGGCTTCTATGTCGGTCAGCAGACAGCTCTCTCCTGCCTCTCTCTCCCTCCCTTCCACCTGCTTTCTACAAATGTTAGTTGAGTGAGTGAGTGACCCCAGAGAGTCAGTCTCTGAGAGTGAAGCTTTAGTGAGAGATCGAGAACTCTCCAGAATTAACAGGAACCAACAACCCCAGCAGGTTAGAAACTGTCAAGAGATGCATCATTCAGGAGAAGCGAGGACTTCAGGCTTGTTTATCTCTACCTCTGATATGGGGGACAGAGCCTCACTACCTGGCTGGGGGTGGAGCTGAGCCCCAAGTTTCCCAGAACTTTCTGGAGAGCATAAAAATCAGGAGCAAGACCCTCCCTCGAAGTTCTCTGAAGAAAGCATTCTGACTGGTGGTTTGGGAAACCTAACCTCAGTAGCTACCTGAGAATGAAGGCGGAGCCTTGAACTTGATCAGACCAGGGCAACTGGGGTCTTTGGTCACTGGTGCCCTTTCCTGGCTGGGCAGAATATCCTAAGTTTTGGTTTTCGACCCTATTGAGCCTGAGCTTAGAAGGCAGGAGCCCTGGTCCAAGTGCATTCCCCAGGGCTCAGAAGGCTGTGGAGAGGTCAGAGGTGACACCTGCCCATTTGGAAAAGGAAAAGCCTGAGCTTTCGGAAGCATCCCCACTTTCCACCTCCCGGACCTCCTGTAATGGACGTGTGAGAAACGAGAGCCCTCCCACCCTCTCAGACCCTGTCAGGACGTCCAGAAAGATCCAGTCCTTTGCTAGCCCCATGATGTTTTAGTTCATCACAGAAGGATTGAAGTAAAGAAAAGCTGACTTTTCTTAACCAACCTACTAGCAAGTTTTAGAAATCTGTCTATCCCAAAACACTACATCCCAAGACTATTCTAAGCAAGAGATCACCCAAATAACCCCCGATTATTGCAGGTCCAGCCCCACGACCAAGGAAGGAGCTCTCAGGGGGAACTCCCTCCCCAGTCTTCTTAGTTCCTGCCCTTCTGTAAAGGGGTCAGCATGCCACAGGATGGTAAGAGGCCTGGGAGAGGTGGGAAGAGCAGGATGGTGTCAGGAGGGACATGCTCCCAGGGCTCTGCTTCCTCCCACATGGTTCCATCTGCCCTGGACCAGTGTTCTGGGGAAGCTTTGCCCGGTCCCCCTCCCTACTCTACCCCACTTCCCTTAGATGACGAGGGTTAGCACATGTGGCCGGTCACAGAGCAAAGACTCACCCAGAAGCCAGCTACCAAAGAAGCTGGCATGTTTGGGGAACCCTGGGAGCAGAAGGGGAGCAGTCCTCTGAGGGGGAGGACTTTATGGTGGGAGGCCAGGCTGGAGGGGCCTGAGTAAGCATCTCCCGGGAGGGTCCTTCCTGCCGTGGGTGGGCCAGGGAGAGGGGCGATGTGGTATGTGGAAGCCTCCTTCTCATGTTCAGGAATCAACAGTGTGAACCAGCTTGGGGGGCTCTTTGTGAATGGCCGGCCCCTGCCCCTGGACACCCGGCAGCAGATCGTGCGGCTGGCAGTCAGCGGGATGCGGCCGTGTGACATCTCACGCAGCCTTAAGGTAGGGTGCTGGGACCTTCACCCAGTGACAGGGACAAGAAGCAGGGAGAAGGGGCTTTTCTTAAGGCAAGTCTGGGGCTGTTTCAGACTTTGAGGGCCTTTGGGGCTTGGAAGACCCTCTTGAGGGCTAGTATGGGAGCCTCAGGCTGAACTCTCGCCTCTGTGACCTGGTCCAGCAGGTCTCACTTTGCCTTGTAGTCCCTTGTCTCGGGGACACTCACCCTCCGCTCACCGTGCCATACCTGTCCCTAATTCTCACCTGACCCAGGTATCTAATGGCTGTGTGAGCAAGATCCTAGGGCGTTACTACCGCACAGGTGTCTTGGAGCCCAAGGGGATTGGGGGAAGCAAGCCACGTCTGGCCACACCCCCCGTGGTGGCTCGAATTGCCCAGCTGAAGGGTGAGTGCCCAGCGCTCTTCGCCTGGGAGATCCAACGCCAGCTCTGTGCTGAAGGGCTTTGTACCCAGGACAAGACTCCCAGTGTAAGTACCCGCCCCTCCCTGCCCCAGGGCTGGCAAACAGGTTGTCTGGGGGAGAAGAGGATCCCTACTGACTTGGTAATGGGGCCATCTTAGGCTGGGGGCAGGGCTCCTGGGTTCTCTTCTGACATATAAGTTTCTCTCCTGAAAAGTAGTGGTGGTGAGACAGGTGAGAAGAAGGACGCATGGGGAGAGAGGGAAGGCTGCCCTTAGGAACTATGTGCGGGGCAGGACAGAAGGGGAGAAAGGATCCTGGGGAAATAGCCTTAGGTTGCAACCCTGGGACAGTGCATCATCTCCCCACTCAACACCCGGACACTCCCAGGTCTCGTCCATCAACCGAGTCCTGAGGGCACTACAGGAGGACCAGAGGCTGCCCTGGGCACAGCTCAGGCCACCAGGTGGGTCTTGGAGCTCTCGCCGGGATGGTCAGAGCCAAACCTAAACATTGTGCAGTTCTCAAAGCCTTTCTTGTTCTTTTGTGGATTGCCTGCATAACAAGATAAAAGGATGGCCTGGTGGCCATCTTATTCGGTCCTGGATGAAGAAAATCAAGGCCCAGAGAAGGGATGTGACTTACCCAAGGTCACCAGCTAGTTATTGACAGGCCCTAAAACAGAACCCAGGTTCACACCCTCCCTCTGCCTCATGCACAGCTTCCCAGAGCACCCCTTGTGTTCTGTGGGCTCACACGAACCTGGGCCATGCTTGCTGCTGTTTTCCCCCCAAACACCAAACACGGACCCTACCATGGCATTGAGTGTGCCTCCCACCATGTGCCCCTGCAACGACCTCCAAGTAACTGCGAATGCCCCGCCAGTGCAGCTCTGCTCTTACACCCATGCTGTCCCCTGTCCACAGCCCCAGAGCCTCAGGGACCCCCTCTGACCAGCGGAATCACCATCACAAGCCACCACAAGCCACTGTCCCCCTTTGCAGCTGTTTTAGCTCCAGTTCCTCGCAATCCCCACAGCGGCTCTGAAGCTCCCCGGGGCCCCTACCCAGGGACCGGCCACCGGAATCGGACTATCTTCTCCCCAGGCCAAGCTGAGGCGCTGGAGAAAGGTGCTGGGGCCGGGGCGGAGGTGCTCAGTGTGACGCATGGAGGCATTGGCCCCAAGGCCTGTGGGCAAAGGTTGAGAGGTGGAGGCTATGGATGGCCCTGCGTCAGGGAGCTGGATGGTTTAGTGGTGTAGCAGGTGGGGAGTGGGGCCCGTGGGGGAGACTCACACCTTGCTTCTCTCTCCATGCCCTTGCTATGAGCCTCAATCTCTGCAGAGTTCCAGCGTGGGAAGTACCCTGACTCAGTGGCCCGTGGAAAGCTGGCTGCTTCCACCTCTCTGCCCGAGGACACGGTGAGGGTGAGTGAGCTCTGCCACACAGTGTGCACAAACCACAAAGACAGAGCCTGTGCCAGGTAGGCTTTGGATTCCGGTGAGGTGGAGAAGGGGGCAAGAAGGTGCAGTTCGGAGCAGAATTACAGACAAGACCCTCTTAACTCCCCTTCCGCTGCTTCCTCTCCTCTCCTCCCCACTCCAAGCCATTGAGACAGCAAAGGCCAGAGCAGGAAGGGAAGATGTCAGGTCTAAGGAAGGGTCTGCGCTCGGAGCCCGGGCCAGGACCCGGTGGTGAGAGCAGTCGGTGCCAGGTGGTGGGGGGGGGGCACAGTCAGCTACTTTGTTTCTGCCTCACTCAGGTCTGGTTTTCCAACCGAAGAGCCAAATGGCGCCGACAAGAGAAGCTCAAGTGGGAAATGCAGCTTCTAGGTGATTTCTCTGTCCATCCATCCATCCATCCATCCATCCATCCATCCATCCACCCACCAACCATTTACTCGGCACCTCCCATGAGCCAGGCCGTGTTAAATGCTGGGCACACACAGTCCTTGCTCTTCAGGGCTGCGCTGTCCTCAGTTTACCATCCCTGGGACTTAATCCTCTTCCCCAGTCTCTTCAGGCTCTGCCTTGGGGAGGAGGGCAGTTTAGGGTTATAGCATCCATCTTCTCTGACCTGTTCCTTAGAATCTTCCTGCCTCTCATCACCAACTCCCTTCTCCCCGGACCCCAGTCCCGCCCTCTGAGTGGATCCACCCTCACCTTGTAGGTGCTTCCCAGGGTCTGATTGTACCGAGTGCTTCCTCAGGAATCATCTCTGCACAGGTATCCAGGAACCCAGGAAGAGAGAGAGGGGAGTTTGTGAACTGGGAAGACTGAGGGCTCACCGTGTTTCCCACTCCCGGGGAAGGCCTGAGCTATGTTTCACAGCTGCCCCAGACTCCCACAGTGCACACTTTCAGAAAGTGCCACCCTCACAGTCTACTACGTGAATGGCACCCTGTGAAGTTGTACAGGATATAGCCCGGGGGGAGGTGGGGAGTGGGCAGTCTTGGGGTCCCAGTCCTGCTAAACATGATGCATTACTGGCATCTCAGGGTGTCCTCTTGCTTCTTTTAGCAGTCCCCTAGCAGTGTGCCTACAGCGGCCTTGCCTGCTCTGGAGTCCTTGGGTCCTTCCTGCTATCAGCTATGCTGGGGGACAGCATCAGACAAGTGTCTAAGTGACACCCCACCCCAAGCTTGTCTCAAGCCCTGCTTGGGTAAGAATCTAGGTCTTACTCCTGCAGGGTGTGGGGAGGGCTAGCTGATTCCTTAACCCACAGGAGGGCGTGGATCTCCAGTCAACGTCACCAAAGGAAACTCGATACGGCCTTCCTTCTTCCTTACATGGCCCACAAAGTTGGGGAGACTAGTACCCCTTGAGTCTATAGAACTACTGACAGCCATAGCAGGGGAAGGGGCTGGGATTGGGGTTTGAGTGTATCCATCCAGGGCAGAGAACTGATGTCTGTGCCTCCCCCCACCAGTGACTTTGGGGGCTGGGGTGGCAGCCACAGGCCCAAGCTCACCCTCTATTTGTCCCTGCAGGCTACCTGCCCCCCACAGCCGAGCTCCCTGGATTCAGTGCTGCTCTGCCATCCCTGCCCTTCCTATCACTGCCCCCGCCGCCAGTCTTGGTACCCCTCAGGCCTTGCTCTGGCCTCGCTCCCCACTACTGAAAGGCGTGGAATGAGGGAGGAAGGCCAGAGTGGAAAGGAGGGGTAGGGAGGAGACTCTAATACCGGCCTGCCCAAGCAGGTCACGGCTCCTTCCTCCTCCCTCATCTGTGGGCCTTGCCTGGCCCTGCCCTGCTGCCCCTCCTACTCATCGCCCGATTTCAGGGGCTGGGGAAACCATGCCCACCCGTTCCCACAGTGGCCTTAAAAGGCCTCCACTTGGCTGTAATAAAAACATTTTTAAATTATCAGTAGCTCCTGTTGTCTACCATGTTTTTCCCATGAGCACTCATGCTCCCACCCTTATATTTAACAATTATAAAGTTTGCCCTGTCTATCTATCTATCTATCTATCTATCTATCTATCTATCTATCTATCTATCTATCTATCTTCTATTATCTATCATGTCTATCTATCTGATCTATTTATCTATGTATATATGCATGTATCATCTATCTAAATACATTTATGTGTCTATGTAACTATGCATGTATGTATGTATGTTTGTATGTACAAGTATGTATCTATAGATGTATCTATCTCGGTGTTTGGGAGCTCATACGCGCACACACACGCACGCACACTGACAGTATATCATGGCACGTCACCCCTAAATCCTCCAGCATGCATTTCCAAAAAATAAGAAACATTTCTTACATTACCACATCTAAAAGACAAGAATTCCTTAATCTAAGAAAAACAGACATTAATTCCTTAATTGCATATGTATTTTTTGCCTAGTAGCAGAGTAGAAATGCCACTTTTCATATTCTGCTTGTTCTGTTATACATGCTCCTGGGCCATGTTTGCTTGCTGCTTCTTGGCAGTAAGTTCCAAATCTATTCAATTTTGTCCGCTGCAGAGAAATCTCTAGGTTCTTCCTGGGAAGCCTTAGGATGTAGGGAAATAGGAATATGGGGACAGGAGGTGAAGAAAGGAGTATTTATAATGGGGGAATGGGCTGATCCCTTCAAATTCTTTCCCTTTTGAAGAGCAGGGATGGAATGACGATGGTGCAAAATGGTAGTGGAGGTACATATTTTTTTTACACCCATCTGAGACGGGTGCTGGTCCAGAAGTTGTCCTTCAAGAGGTCTCTTGATCATCAAACACTCTAGAACTATGCTGTTCAATAAGTAGCTATCAACCGCATGTGGCTATTTAAATGTAATTAAAATTAATAAAATCAGTAATTCATCTCTTCACTCACACTAGCCATATATCAAATGCCCAATAGTCCCATGTGGCCTGTGGCTACTGTATTGGATGGTACACATTATAGATTGAGCCGCTCTTCCATCTCAAAAGTTTGCTGACGCCTGTTATAGAACATTTCCATCAGCACAGGAAGAGCTATGGGACAGCTCAGCCTAGAATGAAATTCTAAGCATACCCTGCCCCTGACCTGCCTTGTCTGCTCTCAAGCTGGAGGCCCTGCTGGACAGGCTGCCCAGGGAAATGGACGGGACTGTGTGGGGGCGACAATCTGCACAGCACAGCCTGAGAATAAACCATTCACTTCAGTGACAGGACTGACCTCAGCCATGGAAGGAGCTGTCAGCTGAGACCCCATGGCTGAGCACAGTCAAGTGGAGGTCGGATGGGCATTTGTGGGGCATGCGAGAGAAAGTCCATCGCGCATGTGTGCGCGCGTGTCCATGCTTCCTTCTGCGCATGCATGTCCGCACATCTGAGTGTGTATATTAATTATAGAATGCTGAGGAAGAGGTCCTGCATTAAATGAACGGCCAAGGTCCTATCTCTCTGAAGAATGCATTCTACTCCATATCTGTGACCTATTCATATTCTCTAGGAAAAGGGGGTGCCCTGGTCTCTAGTGTTCTCAATGTTCCCTTATTGGATTAAAATGTTTAATTTTATATCAAAGTTCTTTTATATTGCTTGAGGCGAAACATACTTACAAAACCCTGAGGTCGTTTTCCTCTATCCAAATGGAATCTCTCTCACATTCCGGTTTCAGCTTTTCTTCTCAATGGACTTAAAAACCAGGCACTCATTATGGTGCGGTGCCATTTTCCCAAAGTGGGGCTCAGGCGTCGTTGTTGGTATTTGAGGACATTTTAGGAGACATGTGGATGCTGCTTTAAATAATAATGAGTCAGAAACGAGAAAATGATTCCCTTTTCAACTCCCTTTCAATTCTGATCGCATCAAAGAGAAAGTCTTCATTTTGGTCCTGGTCTTTAGCACGTCTGTAACAATTTTTAATCTTTTTTAACAGAGGGAAGGGAGCCTTGGGCTCTGGGCCTTGGGCACGGAAGGGAAAATCTAAGTAGGATTGATAACATCACTTTGTTTTCATTTATTTTTATGGTTCCTTTCTATTTCTGGCAAGCGATTCTGGTCTTCCATTTTATGATAGCATTTTTTATTTAAAAAATTCCTTTGTAGGTTTTCAGCCAGCCCTGTCCATTGTTTTTGTGCATCTAGGTTGACACACCTTTGAAATGCCAGAAATAATACCCTTTGAAGAAAGCACATAATCTTGTTAACTATCCTGTAATCTAACCCCTGCCTTGCTTTCTCCAATCTTCCTTATGTCTCCTCCTTAATTTCAAACTCATGAAAGAAGCTGCAAAACTGTTTTTCTCTGGAGCATTTGAGATCTTTTGGCTCCCCAGCCTATGTCGTCAGTTTTTGGCTCAAGTAAACTTGTACAAAAATTTAAAAAATTTCTTTCTAAATAAATGTACTTAAGAATCCATGTCAATAAAAACATGAATAGGGCAGATGGCAGGTAGATAAACATCAAAGTTAGGAACACAGTGCAAGAATGACAGTGCCGACAGCATAAATACGTAACTACAATATTGCCAAAGGACATGAAAGACAGTTCAAGGAATATAATTAATAATGTTGTAAATATTTTGTAGGGTGTCAG